CTGTGACGTGTCTCTTGGCCTCCTGCATCCTCAGCAGGGTTTGGCTGTGTGTCTCCAGACTGGGTCTGAGGCCTTACAGCACAGTTTGCTGCTTCAGGCACAGACAAAAAGGCGGCCCTGCATGTCTGCAATGGAGTCTACAGAATCCACACCTTTACCCCAGGGGTCTGGCACTGAGCCCGCAGGCCACCACTTTCGGTAAAAGCTTCTGAGAATTTTATAGAAGAAAGAAGGGAGTAGTGTTATTCAATCTGTTGCTGTATGTCTACAGTAACTAACATCACAACAGGCAGTATTATTGAACAACATTGTCACTATCATATCAAAACCTCATAGACATTTTTTTTAATTAGCTGACATATGAAAACAACATTTACCCCTTGCATTGTGTGGTTGAGTGGAAATGGCCCACATTTACGTGGGTCTTGTTACATTAACATACATCATGGGCCAGTTTCCCAGACCCAGATAAAGCCTCAAGCTAGGCCATAAAAGAATTTCCAATAGTCAGTCCCTATTGGCATAGTCTAACATTAGGCATAAGTCCATCCAGTTCTGGTCCTGGGGGGCAGCAATCTAGCACAATTTGGCAACGTCCTTGCTCAAACACACCTATTTACCTGGTGACTAACTGGGCTGGGTTTCCTGAAAGCATCTTTGCTCATTCTTCAATGCGTCCCACTGAACACTATGACTAGAATGATCTCAACGCTATGATGCTATTGGGTAACTGGGCCCCAGTTTGTTGTGAGTTGAGCCTGTTTGAGTAGGGAACCAGGCCCACCAGGACTTGACACCCTAGTCAAGGTAGTCCATCTTAATTTTTTTTTGTATCACATGTCTAAGATGTTACCTTTATAGGACAAAAGAAAATACATTATTAACTTTCAGGACTGATTTCCTGAACATGGTTTAAGCCTAGTCTTGGACCAAATCACCAAACTAGGCTGGACTCTGGCCCAGGACCAGAACTGGAAACCTCTGATCTAGACGGAGGTATACAGTGATGCTGCTAAGGTTTTCTGAAGAAGGCTTGAGGACAGGATGTCCACACGGAGATACAATCTAACAGCTTGACAGGCTGGTTCTTGATTTTCTGGTACTTGGCACTTGTATTGACCACAACCATGAGGTGGCTCGGTTTGACATTGTGACTTCCATCTGCTGGCTAGGTCACTAGGTCAGGCCTACAGGTGTGGAGGACTGACCGTGGCAGCTTGCTCACTGCCGGAGAGACTTCTGAAACTGGAGATGTGCCTTTTAGCCTGTTAGCCGTTTCTCTCCACTGAGTGATTATGAAAGAGGTTAAATGCCTTGTTAGTAGGAGGCTTCTGCTCAAGGAGACACAGGCCTTGGATTTTGTGGGCCTGCTTATTTGCTGAGATTTATCAGAACAGTTTAATATGTACCATGAAATACCTTCTTCTATAAAAAGTGTTATGTTGATCTATCCCAGCATTCACTATGTGAGAAAAGCTCAGAGATTGTTATTTCCTTTCCTTTTATGGAATCAAGGGGAGTTCAGTATGTCATCATACAGTAAAAATGTAGCAATGCCTGTCACCTCAGTAGCTGTTGTGCAACTTCGGTGTTTCTTTATTGGTTAGGCCACCCAAAGGCTAAGCTCAGCATCTTTTTGAATGTTCCTTGGCATTTTTCTGAGGCTAGCTTAGCTTTTTGGCAATAGTGGGCAATTTGTTTTCTTTCTAATTCACCATACGATTACCTTTTCCTTTTTATGAGCTAAGACAATGACCGCAATGGTTTATACTCCCTCCAAGCAAGTACATCCTGTAGATCCTGTTAAGACTACCATGCGTGGTCATCTTCTTCTAAGCTTTGCTTTGTCTATGGCCAGATGAAGCTAATGTCATTTAAGGAGATGTACCCTGGGCTATTATATCCTACTATAGCCACTAACAGTCATAAGAAGGCTATCAACCCCCCATCACCGTGCCTCAGGGGGTAGTCAAACATAGCATGAAGCTTTCTGATTAGCTTCCTGGGGTCAGTGCCTGTCATGTGATAACTGCAGCTGCTGCCCATATCGCATGAGGTCATTAGAAGAAGGAGCCCCTTTGACTCATACGCACAATAAAGGGGACAATATAAGAGCTTAGCCCCTGCCCTCAGTGTTTGGGTACTGGGTGTAATGTGTATGTGTGCACATAGGCCACTATTTTCATCACTTGCCCCCAGGCTACTGGGAAATGCCACATTTAAAGCTTTTTTTTTTTTTTAATTGAATGAACCCTCAGTTTTACTGCCTATGCGTTGAAATCTTTTGAATGCATTATTCTGTGGCATTTTGAAAATGTCCTCTGCTGTTTTTGCAGCTGAACAGTACAATGCAATAACTTTAGCAGCCCTGTGTTAACCTTTCAGATACGTTTGTGTGACTTAAATTCACAGACAACTTGACTACATTACATTTTTCCTGTTGTTCTGTGCAGGATGTATCACTAGTACCCCATAGTTACAGTTTAAAATGAGTAACCACCTTTAAATTATTTTCAGATCATGTGCAAAAGTCAGAGGCCACCCTTCATTTAGTTCATTTCCAGTCCCAAACGGCCTTTAAGTAGAAGTTGTTCACATTATTACACAGAAGCCTCAACTAAATATAACAAATTAAGTTTTAAATTAAGTTTTACAGTATGTAGTGTGTCCACCCTTTGCCTTTATTACAGCTTCCATTCTTTTTAAGAGATTTACTTTCAGTTTTGCACAAAGAAATGTGCAGGGATATTTTTCCACACCTCCAAAGTTCAGTCTTAGAAGTTGGTTGAAGGTTTTGCTTCTCACAATCCAAGTGATCCCTAACACATTCAGTAATGTTGAGGTCTGGATTCTGGGGTGGTCAGTTCATTGTTCTGAGAACACCAGCAGCTTCTTTGTCTGTTTTGCAAGTTTTCTTCTTTTTTGTCTATTTTATTTTCTCAGTAACAGCTTCTTAGCAGCTGCACATCCTTTCAGACTTAGTGTTGAGTTGTCTTCTCACAGTTGAAGGATGGACAGAAACACCTGTGAATTTTTTCGGATCTGAAGCAACAGTGGAGCTGGATTTTCTCTTAAAGATGAAAGCTTTAAGTACTGTTTATCTGATAGAGACAGTTTTGTTGGTCTAGCAGGTCTTGCATGGTTGCTATGAGTCCCATTTACTCAAAATCTTTTATAATTTTTTAAACTCGTGTTTTTGAAACTCCTGTTTTTTCACTTTGACTTCCTCCTTCTTTATGCAAGTGAAGTACCTTAAATGTAATCTCCTCAGATCTCTTGACAAATGAATAACTTAATGGGTGTTCTGACTAAAAATGAAATAAATGGTTACATTTAAAAAGGTACTGGACATAGAAAGTACTGGACCACACTGAAAGAACAGGTTGCTATAAAACTTGAATAATATTTCCTGACATTATCTTGTTCCTGCTAATTTAACTGTTCCTTTGCCAAAGAATTTTTCATGCATGTGAACTCCGGATGCAGCCCCTTTCCTACACTCTCTCATTTACAATAATTAAAGGCCAGCAACCTAAAATCAAATGTAGTCTACTGAAGTCATGTCCAGCCTTTTTCTCGTGCATTTATAACTCATGCATGGAAAAGCTGCCTGGATCTGATGGAAGTAATTACTGCGAGATGTCTGTTTTCGAACAACGGTCCACCCCCCACCTATGATTTGAGTCTGCATCAGCCTCCCCCTCCGCTGACCCCCCACACACATGCCTTCCTCTTCAAGCTCTTAGTTGCTATGGAAACCTTGATCTATGATGGTAGGCAGGCTTGAGATAATTTAACCCTTTCTGGCTTCTTTTTCTGAGGAGCTGCTCCACCCAAGCGTTACGTGCATTTGTGCTTGTCACCGCCTCACAAAATTACAGTCAGCGCCATAATTATTGGTACCCTTGGTAAAGATGGAAAAAAAGGGCTGTGAAAACATGTCACTGTGATTATTTAGCTCAGTCCCACACTGAAAATATGAGAACAAAAGAGTAAGAAAATAAGACTGAAAGGAAATATTTCTTCCTAATAAAGATTTGTTTTCTTGGCCTAAATCATTTCAACTGAAGATTTTATTTTCTCCTCTTAATTTCAGTGTGAGATTGAACTAATTAACCACAAAGGCATTTTTCCCCAGGACAAAACAGCTTTTTGGCCTGTTTTAGGGAGCCTAAATGAATTCCCTAACTAACAATGTCCATTAAGCCACTATGATGGCTGCATGTGTTGTGTGGTCTGTGGACCACGGCAGTTAACCTTGCTGACATTTTCTTGGCCTGTTTTTGGAATCCATAGTAAAATGGATTAAAGGCCTGCTCTGGTGGGGCAGTTCCTTATTGGGTTAGGACCCCTGGGGGGATGGGGGGGGAGGAGGGGAAATGGCCATGTTCACAACAGGAATGTCTTTTTTGTTTTTTTGGAGAGGGCTACACCAAACAGTGTATTTGCAGTGCACATTTATGAGTTATCAATGAAGATATTTATGGTTCCTTATTTGCAGAGGCATCCACTGAATAGTGTCCCCTAATTGTTCATAATTTTAGGTCCCTCTCAGTGTAATGAATGAGCTTTGTTGTGTTGCTGCAATAACTGAAAAGATGGGAGAGAAATCAGTGTGCAAACTGCTGCTCTAGCAATACAGCAGCACAAAGGCCTCATTGATGAGCGGAGCAATGGCCAGGAAAGCCAAAAACTGCTCCCAGGAGCAATCTCGGACCCTGTGGAACACTTCTCTGCCTCCGACCTCTGGGCTTAAGGGGACTGGCTTCCAAAATAAACTCTGGAAGGTGTAGTCATACATCAGAGAGTTCAGGGGTACTGAAGACTACTGTCTTGCAAAGGTACTATAAGACAAAGCCACGTTAAAAACTAACTCCTCCAGAGAATTACAGCTCAATCAAAACAGCCTTGCTTAGTAATTGATTTTCTACCATCTGGTGAGAATCACAAAAACAAAACCTTCCAGTGTTTAGTGCACAAAATAATGACCAATCCACCAACACAATTTCATATTCAAATTTATTATTGTATTTCGTTTGTACCCATGGCACATGAGGAAAAAGAAACAACCATAATATCAAAACAATATAAAAAAAGGAAGTCTGTAAAGTTTTACAAAGTATAGATGTGGAATGTTTTTTTTTCCTTTTTCCAGTATGACCATATACTCTAGGCTAAGGCACAGTCATTACCATTCCCTTGTATGTAGGAGACTAATTTACCTTAGTAATCTCAAACCCTAATATGCTGATAGACAAAATGAATCTCAATTCTTTTACATTATATGCAAGTTTTCTGTCTGAAAACCGTGTAGTACAAAGAGTTGCAGTTCTGGCTGCCTTGATGCACACATGGAACAGATACAAGAACCAGTTATCCTCGTTATTTTCATATTTAAATGTTTAAGCATCAGTTAAGTTTGCTACCTTATATCTTGCAAGAAGGATTCTGTCACTTTATATGGAACCAGATATGGTTATTGGTGCTATACGATTGTTACAGCACTCAAAACATTTCTAAGAGACACAAGATTTGTTCCAGCCGTGTGCCCATTACATGACCCTTATTACTCCATACCATGTATGAAGGTTTATGATAATGTCTGTGCCTTATAAACTCAAAAACAGAACAGTTAAGTGATACTTTTCCAGTGAAAGAATTGCATTTCCAGATTAAGCCATGCCAGTTACTCATGTGCAGTGAACACAGACCATTCCACTGTGACCCATCCAGATCAAGCAGAAGGGAGGTTTTAATTTACCATAAATATCGTGTTGAACCTGCAACAACATACTTCAGATCGGAAGTATCACTCTTACATCTACACTTAATGACAATCAACCTGTTAGTTGCAGACATTTTGAATTTTAACATGTTTCTCCCTCATTTGATGATTTCAGGACTTTTAACATAAGTTGAGATGAAGGACTGTAAGGTGCCTTCTTCACATACAACATCCAGTTCTCTCTTATTCTTTTACATGGAAATGAACTCCAATGGCACAAGCAGAAATCCAGTACATACTTTACACACAAAATCATTGCCATACTCCAGAGTATAAAATCAAACATTATCACTGCTGAGACACTCATTCCAGTGGTTAAAGAACTCACTTTGATACATTGTCAAGTGTATGGCAAGACGGTCATAATTCAACATTCACACAGTTACCATTAACTGCCATATTGCCATTAATCTGATGACTGGGATTCTAACACTTGGCAATATGGTGGACAAGGGGCTGAGACTCACAGGGTTTGACAAGGCATCAGTATACAGAACATTCTCCTACAATTCAACATATTAAAAGAGAGAGGCTCTTACGATTTGTGCAAAGACAAGGGAAGGGATCACAAAAATCCCACCAAACAGCTGAGGAGATCCAGCAATCCTGTCAGAAAATGGCTCCTCCTGATGTACTGGGTACATACCTTTACTAAGGCCCATTTACCATTTTATTTTAATTCCAGTCAATTCTCATCACATTTAATAGGCAAAGGGCCTTGTATTACCGCAGTGCACCAATTTGGACCCCAGATAAAGCCCCAGGAATTTAGCACTGGCACACATTGAGTTTTAGTTTATGAAGACTGCACAACACTGCTAGAATTTTATGGCACCAGAGCGCTGGAGCACTAGTTTGCGTATCATAGAGATAGCAGAGTCTTCAGGACTTAAACCACCAAAAAAAGAGAGAGACCTTTGCACCTTCATGTTATTCTCTGCTACTTATCGCCCACTTGTGCTAGCTCATGGTGAAAAATTATATTTAAAATGAAGGACGGAAAAGAAAATTAAGGGAGAAAAAAAAAAAGCCACAGTGGTTACTCAAGTGCTTCTAGTACTCCCACATGGTGGAGCTGTCCAGGTCATCAGCATTAGCCTTCAGAACACCAGCGTGGTCGCCCCTCAGATACTTCCCTTCACTCGACTTGATGGCCACTTTGTTGTAGTCGCAGAACTCCAGGAAGAAATCTACTGGGGTATCACTGCTGCTGACCACTGAAGACTCATTCCCAACCATCCAGTACTTCCCAGTGGAATCTAATCAAAAGACAGGGGATATAAGAAAAGGAGATTTTTACAAGTGTAAACTGACAGTACGGAGAATCATCATTGCAGGAAAAGATGGCAAGTGAAAGATGGGCATTTTAACTATTTTTAACCATTTTTACTAATCAGACAGTTTAACATTCATTTTTTTTGCATGCAGCTAGCATAAGAGACTGTCTGAACCTAATTGCTTGAACTTTGGAGATGTATCTTTATGTTTGAAGCATGTGTCATTTAACATACTACCAGGTCTTACATGCATATCATTACTGATGGGTATTGGTATCTGGCAAATACCAGCAGAAAAGGCTGGACTGGATATAAGAGTGGAAAAAAAGAATGAATCCAATCCTGTAATAAGTTTATTCTGAAATATCACAAGCTCACATTGTATGCAGTGCTATTTTTAGCTGTGGATTTATCTGTGGGTTTGATCAAGTTTGACCAGTTTGATCAAGATAGCCTTTATTTAGATGCTCATAAAGGAAAGTGCTTTAAAAAAAAATCAATTAAAAATTTTATAGCATAACAGGTCATGACATATCTACTTTCACAATAACAACTTGCACAACCTTTACTGTACCAATGTGTCCTCATTGTCTTTGAAATATTTCCACAAAATTTACATATACAGCTCCCACTTAGATGTTCTACACTGCACACTCACATGCCTATTTGAATACTGGATTAAGCCAAACAAATACAAAGATGAGTTTGGATGTGCATATATTCAAATCACTACACTGATCCATAGTGATAAGTCAAGTGAAAGTAGCAAAATCAATGGCACCATTCAGGGAAAACTACTAACCTTGGAGGCTGTAGGCCCCATCACGGAACACCAGGCCAAAGACATCGTAGGAGGAGCGGTTGGAGTCAAGGGTACCAGTCACCTTCCTGCAGCCAATGAAGCCATGCTCTCCCCGCAGCACAATGATGGGCCTGTTGATGAGCTTCATCAGGAACTCCTCGGTCTCTCCTGAGGACACAAAAAAGCAAGTAATTTCAGACAAAGAACCACCAAACCAAGAGAAGCAATGCTGAAATGGCCTTCAAAGAAATTCCAAAAAGAGCTTGCTTCTTTGAGTGGTTTCTCTCAGTAAGAGCTGAATTGTTGAACATGGGCTAAAAAAACTAGCAAAAAGGCACATCTTACCTGCAGAATCAATGGTGGCAGCCAGCTGCCCATTCTTTTTGGCTGCCACATACTTTCCATTGGCAGCACGGAGAGTGATTTTCTTCCCACGCCATTCAATATCAAAATAGCAGTTGGCAGACCTGATTACAAAGACATTATTATTAAGAACAGTATTATAGTAATTTAGAGTAGGGGGTGGATGATACGGCAAAATGATAAGATCATACTTCAAGACATTTTCATAATATGCATCACAATTTTAACTTTTCGGGGGTTTGATAAGTTGGTACTGACAAAAAAAAAAATGTTCTAACAAAAACAATTTACTATCAAAAACGATAAATATAAAAGACATTTATTCAACGTTTCATGTACTGCATTGGACTAAATCCAGTTAAACAGGACTAATTATGCTCTTTTTGTAATGAAAGTACTAATGATATCCACCGAAAGGTTTGTGACATAATTTATCGTGACAATTATAATTGCATTATAAGGAATTTATATTGCCCACCCCTAAAACAGAATATATAAAAGCACATAAAATAATATTCTTTAACTGTGCAACAACGACCAAAGTGCAACAATGACCAATTGTCCAACCAGTTGCTGAACAAGTCAGGTCACCTACATGTTTGGATGGAGAGTTAACAAGGACAGTGACTAAGAGTTATAATTAGAGCACGAAGCAGTCATGCCCCAGGCCTGCACCATCCTCATACCCTCACAGATCTCACGCTCACAAGGTCACATGGGAAGCTCATGTAAACCACATTAGCTACTGGTAGGTTCAGGCAACCAAATGAGCTGGATTACCTTAAACATGCAAGTCACTGTTAGAAAAGCAATGAAAAACAATATGAAATCTAAAGAGCAGGGGACATTGCTCCAGCACAAACATGTGCATTGCCATGGCCTTTCATATGTTTGCTTAGCCTTCAGCAGGACCGAAGGGTAATTATCTGAGCAACAGTAGGTCAATGCCATGCCTTTCTCTCAATGCCATGCCTGAATGTTTCACCAGGACTCACTTGGTAGAAGCGGTGCACTGCAGGCCACCGTTAGCGGTGAGCGTCCAGTATTTCCCAGAGCAGGTCCTGAAAGCACACTTCTTCGTTTCCTTACTGATCTCCATCTGAAAGGTCTCCTGATCACCCTCCTCGTCCTGATTGGCAGAGAGGTCCATTCCTGGCAGACAGAAGAGTAGAACACTGAGTGTCATTATTAGCATTAACTCATCTTTTGGTCAGTAAGACCAAAAATCTGGTCATCACTTCTACATGAGCAGAATATGTCCTTAACACAGCCTCAGAAATGCTGATCTCTGAGATTAGTAAAGATTTCCTCTCAGGCTTCACTGGCAACTTGAACGGTGTTGTTTGCCAGCAACTATTCCTGCAGCCCACTTCCCCATAAAAAGTCCCCCCACACTCTACCGCCACACAGAGTTAATCTTCTCTGGAATTAGGGGCTATCACACATGCCAAGATGCTCAACAGGAGACAACAGTCATGACTCAGTCCCAGAGAATGCATCCGGTTTATGGCTAAAAGGTTTACAGGGCCAAAAAAAATTAAAGTCCAATGAAAAGCACAAGTTTTGTGCTGACTGCCTGCACACACATTATTGTGGTGTACTAATATACACATACTGGCTACAGTATATGAGTCATGTAGTTACAGCAATCCACCACAAGGCAATCAATTTCCCCTTTTTAAAGGGGAACTCCACTGATTAAGAATTTCTGCATAATTCAGTAATTGAGATCTAAGCAAAGTTGATGTGAAATGGTTCACTGTGGAAAAACTTATCTAAGAGTTTCTCCATTATAGTGGTCATAGCAATCAGGGGTTGTGTTATCTACAGTGCAAATATAGAAAATTTATTTACTAAGCAAAGTGACTAGTGTACCTATCCATTTCATATAATAGCTTTTTGTGATGTAGCTTTTACAGGCATTAAACACTTTGAATGTTTGGTTCCTATCACCACCACTATAAACAATTCTCTCCTGAAATGGCACAGTGGTGCAAATTCTGCACTAAACCACTCTGAATGACTGTTGAATGACTTAATGAATCCACTATACATAAACATATTAAAAATCATGATCTTCTACTTAATTTGGCAAAAATCTTGCAATTTCTCACAATATTCACACAGGACACTGCATTTTCTCTGATCATATGTACAGAGTAGAAGGCAACCACTGCATCATATACTAAAACACTGGTTTAATCCACCAAGTCTACATGGTCAGAGACTACTTCTGCTTTAGTAATCTGCCCTGCTGTGATTACTTTCATGTTCCTGCTTCAAACCCCCCTACAAGATCGGCATACAGAGGCTGAGTATTACTGCACAGACGCCTGGCCTCTGGAAGGGAAGATTGAGTTTCCACAGAAATATGCGAGCCTGAATGAGCAAGGAAAATAAATGACCACGATGAGAACCACATGGCTGAGAATGGGAGATCAGTGGGGGAGAGAGAGTCACTAAGAACCCAGTTTCAAATCAAAAGGTTATTAGCAAAAGGGGAAAAATGCTTTCATGCATGTTCACCTAGTAACTAACGGGCTCGGCAGCACCTTTTTAAACGCAGATATACCCCCACCCCCCAGTGCAGATGGATTCCTAAGGGCTCTTTCACAGATGCTCAGTTGATCCATCCACACCATGGCAACTGGGCCAGTGGAGCAGGGCTGTGATCAAATGGTGAAAGACCCACAGACCTCAGGGAGATGGCTTAAAGCACCACCAAGATATTTGCTGTTGCACAATGAATGGAAATGTTGGCTTTGAAAAGCACCAGTGCTATTTAGACAAGGCAGGACTTCTGTTCTCCTACACTCAACACAACGTTAGTCTCGTCAGCAGCGTGAACAAACAGGGCTGGAGAACAAAAGCAGTTGGAAAATCATTTCCGCACTCGTGGTGGATTGACAGACTGATCCATGCGGCACCACAGGAGGAAGAGGAGCAGGCCATGGACAAGGGAAAACACCTAATCCTTTCCCAGACAGATGAGCGTTAGTGACAGAGACTGCATGAGCAAGCCTCTGTTTTTTTGTGTGTGTGTTAGGGGAGGCTGCCCTCTCAGGCAGGCCCCATTGTCCTGCTGAGCACGGCTGCCTACGAGGCCAAGCAGCTGGGGTGCACGGGTAACCCAGGCCAGATCTTACCGCCTTTGTTCTCCTTCAAGCACACCACCCTCCACATGCCTCAACCTCACACTACTGCAGTGAATCTATGTCTCCTTCCCCAAACAATACTACAATCTCCACAAAGGAAAAAACAAAGAACTAGAATCCACAACAATTTTTCACAGCTAAAAGCTTAATTTATTAGCAAACTTGCTAGGCTAAAAGTGTTGCCAAGGGTAATACAAATTTAGCAGGGGAAAAGAAAAAAAAAGAAGAAAAAAAAAAAAGGTATTTGCATGTCAGGAGACTGAGAAAGCACACAGATGATTCTACACGAGATGGAATTCCTAATTCGATCCAGATGCTTGAAATTTAGCTCATGGCAAAAAAATAACCTCTTTACAGCAAGAAGATGCCTTGCTCCAGCACAAAAAGAAACAAAGACAGCACACAACAGCCAGCCTCCTCCATTCTGACCTGCAGAGACCACGTGTAATTTGCTGGGCTCTTGGCTCTGGCCCAAATACCCTGCCACCAACCAGCCTCATCCAGCACCATCAGTGCACGTGAACCAGAGCTGAGACTAGGCATCTTTGTCCGGAGGGCAGCACAGCTTGTGCCAAGAGCACAGCAGCCACCCAGCTAGCCTTTCCTAATGCTGCCAGCCCTGTCCGTCATCTTTACAATCAGCTGCTATGGTGGGAGGGGGGTGGGGGGGGTTGGCCATCACATCAAAACATTATGACATCCCTTCACATTTCACTGAGTTAGCAACTCTAACCCATTGTTTCAGCCTCACTGTCTCAGACCTATTCCTCTGGGTGTTACAGTAATGGCCACTTTCACTCCTAACATAATTACTGTTTATTGGATTCTGCAGAACGCAGACGTTTTGGAATTCAGAAAGAAGCATAGCTGTTGATGCTGGAGAGCAGATTTTCTTCAGAGAACAAGTTTCTCTGACACCATCTCAGGAGAATAAAGAGATACAAAATGGACGCTGCTCCTTGGCAATCTGATGGAAAAAAAAATGTGAGGCAACACATGCGCTATTCACAAAAAACTGCAACATGAGACATGTGAATCTCAGCAGAACAAACTGGCTCTCCAGCTGCAAAGACTTTTTTTCCCCCTTTTGCATTCAGCAGATCCACCCATTGGCTTTGACCACAGCCACACAGGGACCACAAAACAGGGAGAGCAGAGAGAGAATATCTATAAATAAGAAAGACTTCTACCTCATTATAAAAGATTGACGGGTATCAGCAATTACCTACATTCAGCTTTCTTTCATGTGTGGAAAGGAAAGCTTGTTTAAAGATCATGCCACCAGTTGGGGCTGAAGTGGTGTGATTCATTCAAACACACCAGAGGCGATCAAATGGTGATCATCTCATCATAAATGGACCATAAAGCACACCTTTATGACACTCTAAAAGGGTAATCAATGCAGACACCATAATACCTTGCCTGGTGGACACATTCCTGTCATTGCCAGCGGTCAGCACTACTTGAGGGTGGCTCTGCTCCAGAACAAAAAGCTCGTCCTTCCCAACCTTGGAGCTCTTGCCGGACTTCATGGTTCCGCTGGGGCCGGAGGGGGCCAGGTACTTTCCGGCGCAGTCCCTGAAGGCCACCTTTCCGGACCTGAACTCCAAGGTGTAGCCGGTGGTCTTGTCGCCTTTCTGGGCCAGGGTGCCATCGTTCTTCAGGAAGCGGTTGTCGGACGTCTGCAGGTGGTACCTCTGGTCCTGGAAGACCAGGGTGATGAGGGAGTCCACGCCCCACGGCACGTCCCTGTCAATGGCTATCTCGTCCTCTTTGTCGCTCAGGTGCGCGTACCTCTTTCTGGTCAGGCTGAAGATGTTGACCTGCGGGTGCATGGCGATGTGCACGCTCCATTTCTCGGCCATGGAGATGGTCTGCGCGAAGCAGGTGATCCTGTCCTCCGTGCCGCCCAGGTAGCGCTTGTGCGGCTCGGACTGCAGGGACCACCGGCCGTCGTCGTGCGCCGTGATGATGAAGCGGCAGTCCTCGCCGGGCGTCTCGCTGTCGCCGGTAACGTTGCCGTCTTTGTCGGCGGCGATGTAGCGCCCGAGGTGGCTCTTGAGGAAGAACATGTTGGAGTCGTCTCCGTTCTGCTCCAGCGTCCAGATCTGCTTCTTCTTCATGCTGGTGGCCGAGGCGTTGATCTTAAAGCCGAACGTCTCGGCTGTGAGGTATTTGTTGCCGCAGTTGATGAGGCCGAACTGGATCTTCAGCATGTCGCTGCTGCTGCTGCTGCTGCCGTTGGCCGTCATGCTGCTGGCGCGAGGCTTCCAGGAGGAGGAGGTGGAGGAGGAGGATGCTGATGCTGTAGCGCGGAGGACGTGCGGGTCTTTGTTTGCGGAGCGCGCGCGCCCTGTTCTGCAGCCGCTCACAGCGCGAGCTTAAACACACAGCTGTAGCCTTTATACTCAGCCGTGACGTCAGGCGCCGAGCCCCGCCCACGCAGGCAAAAATGGATTAATACAGCAAAAAAAATAGTAAAAAAAAAGTATTTATGTAAAAATATAATAATTAAAAAATATATGACGTGCTTTTCCTACTTTAGATGGACACGTGCTGTGTAAATATACAGTGTTTAAACCTCTTTCAGAGATCTTTAGACTATAAACGTGTATAAATATTAATATATACAAAACCAGAATTGGTCACTTTGTGCTAATAAGGCCTGGTGAATTAGTCATATTAAACACAGGACTGTGCCAAAGTCAGAGAGCACCCTTCATTTATTTCCTTTCCAGTCAAAATGGTTATTAAGTACAAGTACATTTTTCAGCATCAGGAAAAAGTAGAAAACATATTTAATAGAACAGGACACCTCAGAAAAGAAATATAATACCAACATTAGCAGTATTTAGTGTGTCCACCTTTATTACAGCTTCCATTCTTTTTGGCAGACTTTTTTTAAAGAAATCTGTAGGAATACTTTCCACACCTTCAAAGTCTTAGAAGTTTGTTGCATTTTTTGCTTCTCACAATCCAAGTAATCCCAAACTGAAAAGTTAGAATCATCGGTCCATAAAACCTTACCTCACATCTCAAATGTCCAGTTAAGGTGCTGTAGGGCAATTTTTCTTTCTGTTTTCTTCTCTCAGTAACAGCTTCTTGACAGCTGCTCATCCTTCCAGACTCATAGTTATGAGTTGTCTTCTCACAGTGGAAGGATGGACAGAAACAGCTGTGGATTTTTTAGATCTGAAGTGAGAGTGGAGCTTGATTTTCTCCTCTCTCTCAAAGATAAAAGCTTTAAGTACTGTTTATCTGATGGAGACAGTTTTGGTCTTGTACAGTTGTTAGGAGTCCCACTTTCTCTAAATCTTCTATCATTTTTGATATTTCAGTTTTTGGACTGTTTATTCATTTACTCATTTTTTACCTTTCCCTTTCTTATACAAGTAGATTATCTTAAATCTGATCTCCTCAGAAATATCTCCTGAAATGAATAACTTGTACTGAATGGGTGGAAATGAATGGCTGGACACTAAATGAAATAAATGAAGGGTGGTTTCTTATTTCTGTACTGTGCAAAAGTCTTAGGCTCCTAAGCAAACTGTTTAAAACTAACTGTCTTGGCAGTAAGTGTGTCTCTGCTTGTACAAATACAATATAACAGTAGAATACACTAAAGTTTCAAAACATGCCATTCACTCCTCAGTCAATACATTCCATGTATAGAAACTGAACTGCAAAAACAGCCCATTTTGAATTCACTGTTTTTGTGATGTCACCAAAACATGCACATTTACATATATCTACTTATTCAGCCTATAGCAGTTTAGCTCTGCCCATCAATACTGAATTTATAATAAGTATTTCAGCCTGAGTGCATTTTAAGGTACAATACAGGGTAGCCAATCAGAGCAGAGGTCATTTACATATATTAGTCTTAAAGGCACAGTAACAAAAATTCTAAGGGGTGAAGAAAGTTTGGAAAATGGTTATGTAAAAATGAATTGTGACTGTTTTCAATACAAAAAAACAGAAATGTTATAAGTCAACCTCAGCGAAAAAATAACATACAAGAAAAATGCAGGATATAAACCCTGTAACTTATTGAAGCACTAATTAGACAAACAAGACAAAGGATATTAACTATAATTAACACTGGGCTGCTGAGGGGAGAGGTCTGGAAATGGTTAAACAAAAACATTGATATACAAAGCCAGTTCCATAAAAGTTGGGACAGTAGGTAAAATGCAAATCCACTTTGACTTGACATTTGAATGAAAACAATACAAAGACAAGATATGTAATGTTTTACCTTATCAACTTCACTGGTTTTTGCAAATATACACACATTCTGAACTTGAAGCCTGCAACATTTTCCAAGAAAGGGACAGGATAGTTTACAATAAGAAATATGTGAACATTGTGTTAAAAGTGTAAAGTTCGAAAGCCAGGGTCTGTCATGGAGTGGGATGGGCTATTAGTGAGTAGCTTGCATATCTGTAAAAGGATCATTAACACTGAATTCAGAGCAACAAAAAAACATGTATCTCCAAATAGTAATGTTACAGCAGAGGGCAAAAACAGTCTTAATTTTTAATGTAAATTAATGTAAAGAGCTGAAGACTTGTATGAAAAAAAAATTCTGCTTTCAGAACTGAATCAAATTGTGTTATCAGTCCCTAAACAATCATGAAACCTTACCAGAAAGGCAGGCGATGTAACACAGTGGTAAACATGCTCTTGTTCCAACATATTTGGAACATGCTGCAGGCATCAAAGCTGGATTGAGCATATATTTACAAAAAACAACAAAGTTCATAAAGTAAAACATGAAATATTGTGTTTGCTGTAGCATTTTCAATTTAATACAGGTCAAGCAGAATTTACTATACATGTTTTTTTTTATTTCACATACTGTCCCAACTTTTTTGGAATTGGGTTTGTACATAAAATCAATTCTCTCTCTCTCTCTCTCTCTCTCTCTCTATATATATATATATATGTATATATATATATCTATATATATATATATATATATATATATATTATATATATATATATATTTGAGTCTGATGATATGATTGAGAATTTTTAGACAATTTCAGTGTACAATCTGTTATCCAAACTAACATCGAGAGGAAACATATTCCTGTATGAAACATATGGGCTCCATTTCACGAATGCAATTGTTTTGTCATTACTAATTATATTCTAGAACATGACAAAAATACCGAATGTTTAGCCCACATCACAGCACAGCCCTGTCAGTAAAAGTGTTTTCCAGTGGGTTGAAGATTTTTGACTTCAAAATGAGGCCTGCTTGACTGACTAGTGAGAGGATGAGGAAACAAAACTCAGCCTGTTTGTCTACACAAAGATCTATTCATAGTCTGAACATGCAGATTGCGGGGTTAGGTAGACACAGTCAAATAAACAGCAGCTCCATCCAAATAATTCTGAAAATACAGCCACCGAGAACTTTGAGGCAAATCAGCCTTTTATGTGTAGATCTTTCTGATATGGATCATGTGGGATTAAGAAAATGTTATGTACACAGTGTGGAACTTTAACAATGCAGTGGTGTTTTATAAAGCACCTACAGCACAGACTGATATCCACTGGGATTTGAACAAGTGCACTTAGACACTGGTGGGAAAGCATTAAGCTCCAAGGTTTGAATAAGATGTTTCAGTCCATAAAGTCCAAAGCTGGTGATCTGAAAGGAGAAGTGGGCTGATGAATAGATCTGTCTATAAGATCAAAATTACACCTGGGTTTCAGCACAGAAATAGAGATCTTGTTTTCCTTGTGTCATGTCAATCTTAACAGGTTAGGTGTGGTCTTGCTTCATTTCACCACAGATAAATATCACATATCCTTGCTCTCATTAATCCTATTTACATATGTAATACATAATATTATTTAAAGTACAGAAGATACTGACTTTTTCAGGCAGAAGACTAAAATAATAAAGATGTGGGAGGTGAACTGTGTCTGTGTGAGCCTGTGTGTGAGAAGTGTATATTAACTATATGGACAAAAGTGTGTGGACACCTTAACATCACATCTATATGAGCTTTTTGGACATACTATTCCAAAAAAATGGGCATTAATATGGAGTGGACCCAATCTTTGTGGCTATAACAGCCTCAAGGAAGGATAACAACACTCCTCTAGGAAGGCTCTCCACAAAATTTTGAAATGTGTGTCAGTCAAAAAGACATTTGTGCGGCCTGGCACAAGAAGGCCTGGCTCGCAATCGACATTCCAATTCATTCCAAAGATGTTCAGTGGGGTTGGGGTCAGGGCTGTGTGCAGGCCACTGAGTTCCTTCACACCAAACTCGTCAAATCATGTATTTATGGGCCTCACTTTTCATAGTCAAGCTAGAACAGGAAAGGGCCTTCATCAAACTGTTGTCACAAGTTTGGAAGCATGTAATTGTCTAAAATGTATTTGTATGTTGAACTAGGGGCTGAGCCCAAGCCCTGAAAAACAGCCCCAGATCATTATCCCTAGTCCACCAAACTATACTTCTGGCAAAATGCATTCAGGTAGGTAGTATTCTAACGGCATCCGCCAAACTCAAATGCGTCCATCAGACTGCCAGATTGTGAAATGTGATTCATCGTGATTCCAGAGAACAAGCGTCCACTATTCCAGAGTCCAGTGTTTGCCTCCTTTACACCACTCCAGCTGACACTTGGCATTGTATGTAGTGATCTTAGGCCTGTGTGCAGCCATCATGAAGCTCCCGATGCACAGTTCTGGTGCTGATATTGCTTCCAGAGGCAGTTTGGAACTCTTTGGAACAGAGGGTAGGCCATTTTTATATGCTAGGTGCTTCAGCACTCAGCAGCCTGTCTTTGCGAGTTTGCATGATCTGCTTCGTGGCTAAGCTGTTGTTGCTCCTAGATGCTTCAATTTTACAATAATAGCCCTTACAGTTGACTGGAGCAGATCTAGCAGGATATAAATTTCACCAACTGACTTGTGGCAAAGGAAGCATACTATTAGCTGTTCAATATGACCTATTGTACTATCAATGTTTTTCTCTGGACATTGCATGGCTTCATGCTTTATTCTGTACACTTTTTAGTAATAGATGTGACTGGTACAACTGAGATCACTAATAAGGAGGGGTGTCTACATACCTTTGGCCATATAGTGTAATAGGCCCTGCTACTCTGACCTGAGTTATCTCCTGTCCCAGATGGTTGGTTCCATTGTTGAAAACTAAAGTCAATTTATTTTGACAAAGACAGACTCTCGTATTAAGGCCATCTAACCTTTTAATCATCAGTTATAGCATGGGATTGCCACAGCGTTTGTCTGGGATAGACTGTCTAAATATAAAGATGTTCTATTGCAGCAGCACATTTCATGGAATATAAGCCTAAAGCATACTCAAAGT